GAAAAAAATCCCCCCCCCCCCCCCCCCCCCCCCGCCACACACACACACACACACACACACACACACAAACGCAAGATGATTGGCCCAGGTGTGTGCTTGCCAGAGGCTGTCACACTCTCCCCTGCCTCCCACCCTCAGCCACTTGCAGATCTCCCAGCACCCCATACTTCTGTGACTTTGCATGAGCTGCCCAGAGCCCGGCCTCCCTTTCCTCTCCATCATCTCCTCCCACAGGAAGCTTTCCCTCTGTGTTTATAGCTACTAAGGACACTGGGGGCCTGGCTCACAGTAGGGCTCCCCAGGGCTTGGCAGGCAACTGTGCTTTCCCTCTAGACAGTGCCTGAGAAGCGGCTGGGTAGGCAGTCTGCTATCCTGGTTCTGCCACCTGATCAGCCAGGCCCTGACCCTGTGGGCCTCAGCCTGCTGCTCTGGACAACAAGGCAGGGGTTCGAGGAAAGGTCCACGGGCTGAGCTACAGTTCCCATCTTCAGCCCACTCCCAGCTCACCTTGCAGCCTGGCCTCAGGGCCAGGATTGCATACCAGGCGTTGTGCCGTGCTGCCCAGAGCCTGCTGCGCTCTTCGGCCTCCTTAGCCCAGGAGAAGTGGGAGGCTCTGTTGTTCCTGGTGATCTCCTCTGCAGACAGGGGAGGAGGGTTGACACTGGGCCCCACTCTGGGGAGCTGAGGCCCCATGGCCCCACCACACCCCAGCACACCTGTCCGCTGCAGTTGCTCCGCCAGTGCCTGCTCAGAGCCATGGAACTCGAGGAAGAGCGTAGGCGCCACAGCGCAGTTCAGCTTGCTGTGCCTGTTGCAGGCATCCATCGCAACGTCATCCAGGAACTCTGGGACCAGGGAGAGGACAGGCCAGGTAAGGCCTGGCCTTCCAAGAGGGCCTCTTCTGGGGAGCCTACCCTGACTGCCTCAGTCCCCAGCTCACCAATGCGGGCCACAGGTACTGCAGCCTGGAGGATGTTTACAGTGCTGTCCACAGCAGCCTGGACACTGGGGAATGCACAGGTGGCGGCCACCGTGGCCTCAGGGGAAGGGTGCAGGCGCAGGGTGGCAGCTGTGATGAGGCCCAGCGTCCCCTCAGAGCCCACAAAGAGCCCTGTGAGATTGTAGCCGGCTGCACTCTTCCTGGACCCAGGGGACACACAAGGTAGGTGACTGCCCAGCCATGTGATAAGGGATTCCTGACCAGGACACCATCCCCCAGGCACTAGTGTTGCCGTCAAGGCAGACATTCCCTGGCACACTGCTCCACAACCCAAATCAGCCTCGTTCTGGGAGAGCAACCCCCAGTACCATCAATTTTGGCCCATGTGACAGGGTTTCAGTGCCCTCCAAAGCCTCGCCCCCTGTCCAGGAGGCCAGCTGGACGAGGTGCCTGTCACAGCCCACAGGCCCTGGCAGAGGGCGCTCACCGAAAGTGGCGGCCTCGGCCCGCGGTGTGCAGCAGCCTCCCATCGGGCAGCACCACTTCCAGGTTGAGCACATTGTCCCGCATGTTGCCATAGCGCACAGTGTTGGTGCCTGAAGCCCCAGTGGCTGCCATGCCGCAGAGAGAGGCATCTGCACCTGGGTCTGGAGGGCAGAGTGCAGGACAGGGCAGCCTGGGGTGGGCGGGAGGTCCTTTCCCTCACACTGGGAGAAATAGGGTCCCCCGCAGCCCCAGAAACAGCCTTGCCAGCAGGGAGCCCTTGGGGCACTGGGAAAGGTCCCCAAATCCCAGGCCTACCCACAGGAAACCAGAGGCCGGTGTCCCGCAGGTGGGTGTTAAGAGCTTTGCGGGTGACACCAGGCTCCACCACCACAGAGAAGTCTTCTGAATTCAGCTTCACGATTCGGTCCATATGGGTTAGGTTAATGCAGACACCGCCCTGGTGGGAGGAGTCCCAAGAAGTCAGGCTGACCCAGGTCTCCCACCGGGCACAGTTTCTGGACCCCACCCCTCAGCTGACCTCCCAGCAGCCAGACCCGGGCAGGAGCTTGAGGGCAGGGCCTGGCTGACAGCTGTGTGTGGTGAAGGACAAGTGTGGTGAGACCGGGCCTGGGGCAGGGGTGGACACCCCACTGTACCTGCATGGCACAGACTCCGCCTTCAAGCCCAGTGCCAGTGCCGAATGGGATGATGGGCACGCCTTGGCCGTAACACAAGGCTGCCAGCCGGCTGACCTGGTCCACATTCTGGGGCCACACCACAGCATTTGGAGGATGGCACCTAGAACCAGACCCTCAGTGATTGAGGAGGAGGTGTTGCAGGGCTGAGGGGACATGGTGGGCAAGGGGCAGAGAACTCCCCTCTGGACAGAGGCTGCCAGAGCACCCTAAAATAGGTGGGTGGGGGAGAAGACAACCCAGGACCCTCACTCCCAGCCAGGGTTTCTGGCAGGGGAGGGGGCCCACAAGCCCCCCACACCTGTACATCGACTCATCATGCCCATGCTGCTCGCGGACCACGGCAGCCGTGGACACGTGGGGGCTCCCCACTATGGCCTTCAAGGCCTCCACAAAGCCCTCGCTGAGTTCACCCTGCAGGGGAGAAATACATTGCCAGAGTCACCGGAAGGACACCAGGGGGGCCAGGAGGGGTGGGAGCTGGAGTGGGCCTCCCCTATCCTGACACCATCCTGAAGGGTCAGCTCAGCCAGGCCTTGCCAGGTGGACCCACTCTAAGCAAGCCTTCTAGACAGGAGTGCCCCTTTTCCAAACAGAACCATGCCCTTGCTAACTAAAAGATCTGCTCTGCCTAGGTCAGCTAAATTGTAGTGCCTTGGGAGATGTGGGGTAAGTCAGCAGTCATATCCACCTGTCCTGGAAAACATCATTATAAGACCATTTTTATTTAGAAGCAGACTTCATGGCAACAGAAAGTCATAAAATAACCTAGAATGCTTCTTGTAACCCTTACCCTAGATCCCTGCACCTAGGATATAACCTAGTAACAATCCCAAGTGTGTACGTCATGTACAACCAGTAGAAAACCTGATGAAGTGATTAGGAGAAGCAAATGCTTCTCCCTTCTTGTGACTATCAAATGCCAGGCTCTGCTGGACCTCTTCAGAGTGCACTTCTGAGGGCAAACTGACCTATGTGTTTCCCTGGTGGCCATCTTTATATTGGCTCAATAAATCCTATGCTTTATATATTTGGCCTCAGTTTCTTTTAGGTCAGCACCCTTCAGGAAAATTGTCACCAGAATAAAAAGAAAAATCAGATTCACTCTACAAAAAGGACATCAGCCCTGCTTTAGTGAATTGAAAAAGTTACTCATCTTGGTCTTCCCTCCAAGGCCAGCCAAGCACTGCCCCAGGCACACAGGGGATTCAGAGCTTGATGAGGAAATGACAGGAAGGAAAAACTTCCACTGTCCCCTTCCCCAAAACTAAGACACCCCCCCCACACACACACACACTCTACCTTGGTTGGGGGCTTGTACATAGGGCCCTTGGAGCCTTTCTGGGGATTTCTTCCCGTTTTACAGATGGGGGACAAGGCCAATAAGTCAAGGACAGAGCCTGGTAAGAAACCCAGGTCCTTGGCTCCCAGGCACTCTTTCAAAATGTATGTTTATATTCCAGAACCCCACCGGCACCCGCACTGTGGGTGAGGGCTTCGGCCCATCTCGCTCCACACTCATGCTTTACACAGGGTCAGCCCAGTGATCCTTTTGCCCAAGGTCAGGTTGCACAGTGCTGGGGTATAACAGAGCCTGGGCAACTTGGGATCAGGCCCTCCAGGGGGCTCCTCCCATCTCCCCCACCTACCTGCTGTGACTTGGAGCAATAGCCCCTCCAGGGGACTAGCCCCCAGGTTGCAGCCCTAAGCAGGCGGGCCATCCCTGGCAACAGCCACTGGTTTTGAGGCGGGGAGAATAGCCACTGGTTTTGAGGGGTGGAGAGACTGAAGGTCAAGGCTGCCTAGCCCATTGGCTGTGCCAGGGGTGGGGCTTCTTAAGGTGGCATGGGCTTAAGGTGGCCCCAGCAGACCTTGCCAAGTCAGGGCTGTCTGTGGAAGCCAGCATCAACACTTTTTTTTTGGCAGCTGACCTTGATGTTATAACACCACGCCCTAACCAACTGAACCAACCAGCCAGCCCTGTCAACACTTCTAAATGAGAGGCAAGGTTCACCAGACACATCAGGAAACTGAGGGGAAACGGCCATTCCCTGGCTTCGAATTCTGCAATGGATTCCGTGTTCCAGGGCCCTTCAAATGCACACTCCTTGCTGTGGCCTTATCAGTCCTGCGGGCTCCTGCTGACCTCTCTGTCTCCCCCACTTCCTTCAAGCCTACTTTTTGACTGTCCAGCTCCAGCTTCCGATTCTGTTCCTGTATACCCAGAGCTCCAGCCAGGCTCTGGGCCTTGGCACATGCTATGTCCCGTGCCTGGCACCTTCTCCAGACTCTTCTCCAGGCTATCACCCTGCAAGTCTCAGCACCAGTGCCACAGTTAGGGAGGGCACCCTCAGGGCCAAGAGGAGGAAGCTCAGGGAGGCCCTTCTGAGATGGGATGGTGTAGGGCAGTGGGGCAAACCAAGAAGGCTTCCTGGAAGAGAAGATCTGAGGATGAGTAGCAGTTCACCAGGGAGATGGAAGGAAAGACTTCACATCCTTTCATCTGCACCCTCCCCCTGGGCAGAGTGATGTGGCTGCTGTTCTTGCAGCTATTCCTAGCTCAGTTTTCCTCCCGCAGCAATGTTGAGGAGGCATGTTGCTAACATCACTGAGATAAAGCTATACCTAGCTTTGTTTTTCTTCCCAGTCGTGTCAGGAATACAAAATTCTGCCTCATCCTAGTTGGGGTTCTTCACCCCAACCATACTTGAATGAGTTATCCTTCCACCCTCAGTGTGTTGCTAACCGGCTTGTCTCAAAAAACAAGTCTCTTTTCCGGTTGGTTAGTTCAAATCAAGGTCCAGTGGAAGTCCAAACAATGCATTTGGTTAATGCATCTCATAAATCTTTTAAAATCTATAACCGTTTTCCCCCTCCCCCTTTTGTTCCATGCCATTCATTTGTTCTGTAGAAATTTTCAGCTTCTGTATTTGGATGATTTTGTCCTTGCTGTAGTTTAATATATTTCTTTAATCTCTGTATTTCTTGAAAACTGTTAGATCTAGATGCGATGCCATCCAGTACAACTTTCTGCGCTGATGGTAATGTTCTATATCTGCATTTTCCACCTGGTAGTCACTAGCCATGTGTGGCTATTGAGCACTTGAAATGTGGCTAATGGAACCGAATTTCCAGTTTCATTTAGCTTTATTTTATTTTAATTTTGAGTGGCTACAATATTAGATAGCACAAATCTAGAGAATCAATTAGATTCAGATTTCGTTTTCTTTGCCAAGACTACTTTGTACATGTGTGTTTTAGAGTAAGTTTAAGGTCTTAAAAATTCCAACTTCACGGGAAGCCAAGGGAACTGGGAGGTACAGGGTTTCTTTTGGGGCGATGCAAATATTCTGGATTAGATGGTGGAGATGGTTGCTCAACACTGAATATACTAAAAACCATTGAATTGTCCACTATAAAATGGTAAAAATTCTGAGTTTTACGTTTTGTGAATTTTATCTCTAAAATATATTTTTTTAAAATTCCAACTGAAATTTTGAGTGAGATTGCATTCAATTCGTTTATTAATTTTCTGAGATTTGGAGTCTTTTTAATATTGAGTTGGTCCCTTCAAGACAATGGAATCTCTATTTATTCAGATCGTCTTTTATATCTGTTATTGAGGTTCTAAACTTTTCTCCATAGGGATCACAGAGAGTTCCTGTATACTCTTGACTCAGTTTTCACTAATGTTGACATCACAGGTAGCCATGGACAATTAACAAAATTAAGAAATTAACACTGAGAGAAGGGGAGGGGGAAAGAGGTAGAGAGAGGGGAGGGGGGATAGGGAGGGGGAGGGGAGAGATTGGATTAGGGGCATAAAGAATAAGTTTGATTTGTAACAATGAATATGCTAATAAAAAATTTTTTAAAAGAAATTAACATTGGTATAATACTAAACTACAAGTTCAATTTCATCAGTTTTTTCAGTAATGTCCTCTTTTTTTTCATTCCAGGATCTAATCCATCATTTGACATTGCATTTCATTGTCTTGTTTGTTTCATGTCCTACAATCTGTGACAGGTCATCAGTCTTTCCTTGTCTTCCATGACCTTGACATTTTGAGGAGTGCTGGTCTGTTATTTTACAGTATGTCCATCAATTTGGATCTGTCTGATGTTTTCTCATGAGTAGATTGAGATTTAGCATTTTGGTCAAGAAAACCACAGAAGTGATGTGCCCTTCTCAGTGTATCATATTAGTGAGTACGTGATGTCAGTCTGTCCTATTACTGGTGACATTAACCTTGATCACTTAGTTTAGGTGGTGTCTATAGGGTTTCTACACTTAACAGTGTAATTAATTTGTAATTAATAAATATACTGGGGGAAGATACCTTACCACTGTGCAAATATCCTGTTTCTCCTCAAACTTTCACCTGCTATTTTTAGCAACCATCAATGGATCTTGCCTACCATAGTTATGATTATGGCATTCTAATGGTGATTTTCTATTTCTCTTATTCTTCTATATTACTTACTTAGAATTATTCTCTAAGGGAGGGCTGTCCCTTCCCATTTATTTATTTGTTCTCAGTGTGGACTCGGATATTTATTTTATCCTATATCTTATAATCTAATACTGTTATCATTTATTTTGTTGCTCATATTATTCCAGCTTTGACCATTGGGGGCTTCCCTCATATAGGCTTCTCTGTCTTTTAGACTGTCCTTCACCTTTTTTTGAGCACTTCCTTACTTTCTGTCACCACAGGATGCTCTAGACTCATCTTGTCTTTTCCTTGTCCCAACCCTGTAATCAACCAATTTTCCAAGGAGCCCTGGTTCTTATAGAGGCAAATGGTATTTGGCAACCAAGATCTGGGTACTAGAGATGCTCTTGAAAATCACCAATGAGGGGTTAGAGCACAGCCTTAAAATACCAAGGTCATGGGTTTTGACCCCTGTACTGGCCAGCCACCAAAAAGAAAAAACAAAACACAAATAAGAAAACAAACAACCCAATTTAAAAATAGGCAAAATATCTAAATATATACTCACCAAAGAAGATATGCAGATGGCAGATAGGCATATGAAAAGATGCTCAACATCATATGTCATCAGAGAATTGCAAATTAAAATGAGACACTACCACACACCTATTACAATGGCTGAAATCCAACAAACTGACAATGTCAAATGCCGATAAGGATGCAAAGCAGCAAGAACTCTCATTCATTGCTACCGGAAATGCAAAAGGGGAGTCACTTTGGAAGACAGGTTGAGAGTTTCTTACAAAGCTGAAGATAGTTTTACTCATTGTCTAGGAGCAACCATGTTCCTGGATATTTACCCAGTTGAATTGAAAATTTATGTCCACACAAAAAAGCCTGAACACAAATGTTTGTAATAGCTTTATTCGTAATCAAAACTGGAGACAACCAAAAGATCCTTCAAAAGGTGAATGGATAAACCATCTGTGGTTCATTCATACAATGGAATATTAGTTAACAATAAAAAGAAATGAGTTGTCAAGTCACAAGAAGACATGAAGGAAACCTAAATGCATATGTTAAGTGAAAGAAGTCATTCTGAAAAGACTATGTAAAGCGTTATTCCAACCATATGACATTCTGGAAAAAATAAAACTATAGAGACAGTAAAAACATTAGTAATTGCCAGAGGTTCGAGGTAGTGGGGGCGATGAATAATCAAGTATAAGAGATTTTTAGGGTGGTGAAGCTATTCACTACAATACTGTGATGGTGGATACGTGACATTGTGTATTTGTCAAAACCTATAGAACTTTACAACACCACGAGTGACCTTTTTTTTTTTCCATGCCCGCCGAGTGACCTTTCATGCAGGCAAAATTTTAAAAAACCATTTAGGAAGTTGGGGTATCCCAAGTAAGAATGCAGACTGTGACAAAAGACTCTAACTGTATCTTTGTAAATCTATGAAACAACCTCACTGGGGAGGGTGGAGGAGAGAGGTGTTGACCTACGTAACTTTGGGAACGAATGGAGTTTGTAAGACTAAAGGCAAAAGGAACTGCACATCAGTACTACACTCTAGTCACTAAAGTTCTCACAGGCGTACAGGTTGACAATTCTGCGACAGCTCTACCTGTGTACAGAAATTGATCAATTAAGTAAGTAGATGTTGAATGGTGGGAGTCAGGTTTGCCACTGTTGGAGTGGAAATTTGCAGATCAGCAAAAAAAGGAGGCCAGAATGATCCATATGATAATTGGAGACATCAATCGAAACCCATGGTTAACTTAATATGGATAGAGATGTTACATACAGAAATATTTATAGATATGTGCATATAAGTAACTTTGTAGACACCCATATGTTTCTTTGGTCTGTCACCCAAGGGGGACTAAAAATAATAATACTCCAGTAGCAACAAGCACACCTGGCCTTTGTTTCTAATACCAATCATCTCCAATAAAAGGAACCAGTGCTTCTTGGTGAAATGGCTGATTTTAGGATAAGGGGAAGGAAATATATAAGATAATCCTGGAGTATCTTCTAATGCCAAAAAGGGAGTGCCAGCACACACACAGACACACACACACTGATAGGGGCATGTCAAACAGACACAGGAGCCAACTAAAAGATTTCCCAATGGCCAAAGCTGGAACAATTTGATCAACTAACTAAATAAAATAGTATTGGATTATTACCCAAAGTATAGAGTAAGTATTCACGAGTCCGCAGTGATGTAAATAACTGGTTCAATGAATTAATAAATGGGGACAGGAGACAAG